TATCAAATAGCTGCTTTGTGTTACACTTTATGTTAAAAATAAAAACAGATTCGGAAAGTGGGTCAAATTCTGTAATGCCCTATTTCAAAAAAAAAAAATTTTACGTTTATTTTAACCAAAAATATTTGAAAAAAAATATTGTTTAAACAATTTATTAAATTACAACCAAATAGTGCACTAGAACTTTTTTAGACCTTCCATATAAAAAAAGAATCATCTCAATATCTGCCATAGTTTTTGCGTTATTTGATATAAACTTTTAAATTGGAATTTACCTATGCCCAGAATCGCGAGGATCGGCCTTAATCTACACGGCTCCAGCAAGGCGGAAATAAGTCTTCTGACATTCCTGCTTTACAGCGGTCACGCTCTGTCTCGGAGGATCGCAGCTGCAACCCACACCAAACTCAAAAATACCACCCTTGGAGACGCAGAAGGCTTAAACAAGATAAAAACGCTAGGCGGAAATATAGAAAATTATCCTTGGGCTATTACCTACCTTCTGTAAAAATTTCAAGTAAATCCATGCTGAACGAAAAAATTGCGAGCCAAAATGATTTATTTCCTGGCCTATAGACCTTTCCAGAGTTTGAGAATTTAAGAGTTTGTCAACTTATCATCTTTTAACCTGATTCTAACCATTTAAAATAGTGATTTTGGTTCCATTTCCATTCGTTCGTTACTACATCTTCAAAAATTTTCTTAATAACTCCGGTAAATAGTACTTTATAAATTATTATTTTAATACAAGCTCGCAATTGAAAAATAAAAAAATTTAAAACGTTAGTTTAGATAAAAAAAATAAGATAAAATCAATTAAGTACATGTATCAACTGATGCTATCGAATAAAATTTTATATATTACTTAATCCTATTTCCTCGTATATATGTACTTACTTAATGATGATATCAGATCTAGTAATACTTCTTACATTGATATGGCGTAATTAGATGTAAATAATTGTACGTGAGATGGACAAGATAATTAACAAAATGAAAAATTCTTCATTTTTTGGTCGTGAGTTTTTATCATAAAGTGAATAGGTAATTAGAAAGTCGTAATTATCAGCGGCGTTACTAAAGGGTCATTGTGACAGTGACCTCCATAAAAGACGATTATGACAAAGCAGATGTGCAGAGACACATTTGGCAAATCACAAATAAATGGTGGACAGCTAAATTACGTCCGGTGAAAATACAGAATCTGACTAAAACTAACATCAGGGCATTTTTTAAGGCAACATTAAAGTTCTAAACCAATGCACTTAAGAGATGGCACTTAACTTTTTAAGGATACCTCCTCAATCAACTGCCGTTAGAAAGAACACCTTGAAGATCTTAAATAGACAGTCTCAGGTCGATGTAGATATACTTCCACCATTTCTCAAAACCCATACAACGTATGGGTTTATTGTACAACGTTGTATATACCTATACAACCTATGGGTTTTTAAGAAAACCCATCACCTAAGCAACGTTCCCATCCTGGAAGAGGTCGAAAAAGTAATCAAAAAACTAAAATACAACAAAACAGCTGGTGCTGACCTAATTCCGGATGAGATATTTAAGGTGGGAGGAAGGGATCTTTATTTACATAAATTTTATGACAACTTAACAAAATAGTGTACGGCACTGTTAATCTAAATTTAATTGCTTCCTAACACCTTTCTATTTTTGAAATGTTCCGTTAGGTACAATGTGGTAGTTAAATTTGGTTGGTTGGATTTGGATACTGAATTTAGTTGTTGTGAATTATTTGAATTAAGAGGAACGGCCATCATAAATATTATAGCGCACAAGTTTTGGAGTAATTATTTTTATTTATGTAAGTATTATGATCTTAGACAATGTCATTTCGCTTATTTGCATTCTGTATCAGATTTTAAGTTTAGAAATTAAATAATAATAATAAAGATGATAATCATTCATTCATTGACTACAAGAAGGCTTTTGATTCAGTACCGCATGAATGGCTTATAGAAATATTGAAAATATATAAAGTTGATGATAATCTCGTGACCTTTTTGAAGTATATAATGGCAGAGTGGAAGACTAAAATTCACCTTCAAATACCTGGTGAAACCGATATCTTTATTAATCGGGGCCTTTTTCAGGGGGACTCGTTGAGTCCACTTTAGTTCTGCCTAGCGATGAACCTACTATCTCAGCCACTGAACTCTACTGACTCAGGATTAAGCATAAAAAATAACAACACTGTTGTTTCGAAGCTTAATCATCTGTTGTATATGGATGGTTGAAAGTTAATGGCTTCCACTCGAAACCATCTAGATCAGATGCTAAAAACTCTAGAAACTTTCCCAAATTATATCAGTATGCATTTTGGACTAGACATGTGCCGTATACTAAATATAGTCAGAGGAAAGGTTCAGCCCGGAGGTTTCAATATGCAAGATAGACAAAATATCGAGGCAATGGGTGAAAATGATATGTACAAATATCTCGGAGTACAGCAAGCGCGAAAAATTGACAATTGAAAATCGAACTAACTTCCGAGTCCGTACGAAGAGTAAGACAACTAAATCGGTCATATCTTAATAGTAAAAATTTGTTTAAGGCATTAAATACATACGGCTGTTCCGCGCTGAGCTACTAATTTGATATTATAAAGTGGCCAAAAACGGATATAGAAGGTCTTCAGCGGAAAGTAAGAACACTTTTCACAAAGGCGCAAAAACATCATCCACGCAGTACAGTAGAGAGAACAACATTACTGCGATATCAAGAAGGAAGAAGACTTATGGACATAGGTGAGCAATTAGATAAACAGGTTGCTAATTTAAGAACTTATTTTCAGGTGCAGGCTGAGACATCTACCTTACATCGACCAATTTGCGCAGTAGATGATACAACGCCGCTTAAATTAAGGGAACAAGAAATGCGCATAAACCATCTGACTAAGCAAGAAAAAATGTGCACCTGGATGAGTAAACCTCTGCATGGGCGACGTCTCAATGAGATCAGCCAAGAATATGTCGACAATACAGCGTCAAACTATTGGTTGACATCAGGAAAGATGTTCCCCGAGACTGAAGGCAAAATGACAAAGGCCGATATGGATGCCAAGCCCAAAAAACCATCCAACATCTTACCGGGGGCTGCCAGGCGTTTGTCGGAACTGATTACAAAAAACGCCATGACTCAGTAGGAATGATTATCCACCAAGAACTAGCTGACAAACTGGGACTTCTCCAAACCGACCATCTTCCTTATTATCAATATGTCCCTGACAGAATACTTGAAAATGACAACTACAAGCTATACTGGGACCGCACTACCTAACACTAATAACTTGCGTGTTCAATACATCGAAAAGATCGCCAAGTATAGAGATCTAGAAATACAAATCAAGAGACAATGGAGAATGGAAAGTACCCAGACTGTACCTATTGTTCTATCTACTACTACTGGTGTTATTCCCAAAAACCTCCTAGGAAACATAAAACAGCTGGGTCTAAATGAACACCTTTATAAGGCCATGCAGAAAGCTGTACTCCTCGCGACGTCCAGATGTGCACAAAAATTTTTGAGAGATACTTCAGCAAACCAAGTCACCTAGGGCTCGATAACACGGAAAGAGTCCCACCAGAGCTCATTCCTCATAAAACGATTGGAGGCATTTGACATGTGGTGACTTCTACAGTTGATTCTACAAGGCAAGATTGAGGGTAAGAGAGGCCCTAGACGTAGACGTATATACTGGCTGGCCAATCTTAGGAAATTGACTGTTCTAACGTCAACTGATCTATTTCGAGCTGCTGTGAATAGAATAACATGGTCGCCAACATCTCTAGAAGATATGCACATTTAGAAGTTAAATTTTATAAAGTGTAAACATGAAATTTAATTATAAAATGTAATGTTTATAAAATAAAATAAAGTGCTTATTAAAAATGGCAAATTTGCCTAAACATTTAAGCAAAAGTTAAATGGATTGATATAAAGTTGAATGCTCGAAGAAATGAACTTTGATCAAATGAAAGGAAGATATCGAGCACAGTTTTATTAATTAAATCTTGCCCAAGTACTTTCGCTTCCTAGAGCATCTTCAGGGGCAAAAAAAGTTAAATAGTTTTATTTACAACAGACCGGCAAACCAGGGAATAAAAATTTTTATATATACATTATATAAATGTGGTGAGCAACTTGGACAGTCCATAGCAAAGCAGCTGTCGGATTGGGTAGATAGCTGTGTTGGTAACTGTTCAGTGGAAAACGGGAATCTTGAGTTCTTCCAGTTACTTGTTGCTAAATATTATTTGGACTTCCCGTGGTTTTAGTAAAGAACAAAAGACCGTACATGAAACTATTTAATTACTTCCACGTGACTTATAATATAAAAAAAAAAAGAAAACTTAATTGTTTGTAATAATACAACTAAAATATTACAAATATAAATTAACACTACATGTTGTTACATCTATGACTGGAAACGGAATAATAATGAATGAGGGTTGTTAGGTAGACTCCCAAAAGGTGAGTACTTCTAAAAATAAATCCTAACTGTAATTTCTAATCTCCCTTAGCGAGGTCGTCGCCAAACTAAGATATGCGGCGTTTCAAAGACGACAGGACCGTCGTCAGATCTTTTAAAGTTTTAACAAGCTGCTCAAGAGTTTGCTGTGGAACTCTGTTGTATATAACTATAGATAAAAAAGGAGATAATACAAAAAACAATATTGAATTATATTATGTACACAGTTTTTTGAACACACTGATGATGTTGAAAAGAAGCTATATTTAATTTATATCTTATTTTAATTTTAGCACTTAATCATATTATTCAACTCTATTAAATTTTTATGTTTGAGGTATTATGTTGTAACTGGCTGATTGACACCTAATCAATCAAAAAAATTATGTTGGGCTTATAAAGGAGTGAGAGACTTTCCTACTATTTGTCCAAACAGTTATCAAAACAGTGCCATAAAAAATGTGCCCAAAATACAATGGTTATACTGAAAGGGTTCATAGACACTTACCAGTTCTCAGTGCATCCCTTTTGATCCTATCATAATCATGCCAATCTATTTTTTCATTGTCAATTAAGACCACCTGTAAATGAATAACAATAAATTTCATATTATACATAATAATTAATGATACGAAAATATCAGCATTGTTGTATAAGCAAGAGAAATGGGAAATAGTCAATCGACAATTTTGAAATGACTCAGAATATTGTAGTCCAGTCGTCAGAGATTTGATCTCTAAAAGCGAGACGAACAACCTGAATTTTGAGAAAAATATCAATTATGGGACCCCAAAAATATGCAAAAAAGTTTAACACTACTCCCCCGGGTTCCTCCACACCTCGTAGGGGGAGGAACGAAAAAAATCGATGCGACCGACGATTTTGAATGTCAATTTTAAATAAAATTTGTATCAACTCGACAGTAAGTCTGTGCAGCAGAAATTAGTGTTTCTAAAAACCTATTCACTAATTGTGTTTCTGTGTATTGTGCTTCAAATGTATCATTACTGTGCACAATTTTTCTAATTTTTTTTAATAATATAAATAGTACATCAATAATTTTTAAGAGATTTTAATATGCACTATGACCTATGGGGCTCATATAAAAACAATCAATCTGGGATAGCTATGATAAATGCATTAACTCAAAAGAACATAGTAATTTTAAATGATGGGCCACCTACAAAAATATCTTGGTCAGGTCAAAAGTTGTCTGTGGATTTATCAGTAGTATCTCCAGACATCGCTGATAAAACTAACTGGTCATTGGTAACAGATACTCTTGGATCGGATCTTTTTTTCATTATTATGAAACTTAATATATTGAGGGAACAGTTTAGTAACACAATACAACCAAAAACCAAATAGAACACTAGAAAAGCTGGGATAACTGAATGGAATACGAACTTACATTTTATATTTTAGTGATAAATATAAATATTTCATGGAAGGAGTTGAATATGCTGCTACATGTTCAATTCCAATCAATAAGCCTTTTAAAAGAGCTAAACTGTCATCCCTACCTTGATGGAAGCTCTGAATATGCTGTTACAAAGAGCTAAACTGTCACTATCGGCTTGGTGGGATAGTGACTACGATAAAGTCGTTCTTTATAGAAAAGAGGCTTTAAATAATTAGCTTTGAATAATTTAAAGAAGCTTTAAATATTTTTTGTTTAAACAAAGCATAAACGTAAAAAATGACACAAAGTCATTTTCAAAATGTACAAAAGCTACACTCTTCACCTTTAAAACGCATTTTGATTTTTGTCGATAGGATACTCTGATCAAAAGATATCGAATTTTTACCGTCGAATTGATACAAATTTTATTTAAAATTATTTCACTCATGTAAATGACATTTAAAGTCGCCGGTCGCTTTAAGCGTTGTTTCTGAGGGTACACAAAAGGTAAAGTTGATTCTACACAAAAAGTGCTAATAAGCATTTATAATCAAGATTATCTCCGCTCCATTTTTTATTTAAAACATTTTTCCCCCGGCCCCGTTTTCCCTCTACATGGAGGATTTATGGGAAGCCGGGATGTAGTACTAAACTTTTTTAAATATTTTTTGGGGTTCCCAAATTGACAAACTTAGCAAAATCCAGCTTGATCATATGATTTTTTAGAGGTTCAGTGACATTTTCAACTCCGTGGAGTTTTATCTTCAGCTGAACAAGTTTCAGAAATTTTATAAGAAACAATAGGAAGTTACATGTCTCCATTTCCAACTCTTTATCCAGAATATCTCGGAAAGTATTTTATCTAACACAAAAATGGATACAAATAAAACTCTTTGCAAATAAAGTCCTCATCAAAAGTTGCTTATGCAATTGATAAAAAAAAATCCATCTTTCCCTTAGAAATTAAAATAATGCAAAAAGTTGTAAAAAGTGCATATGGAAGGTTATAAACATTTATAATGAAAAATTTAAGTTGAGATCCAAAAAAATGGCGTAAATATATGTGCGATATATTTTTTTGCTTTTGTGTAATAATTATGCAATTTAGTTCTGTCTAAAAAATTTGAAAATTTTCGAAACTGCACTACCTGGAAAATTCCTTGTATAAAAGTGCTGATTTTTTACATATAGGACAGTGAACAGGTGTTCGAATCCATTTTAAAAAATCGTTCAGGTAGAAGTGCCTGGGAATTTTTTAAGTGACTATTGAAATCTTTTATAAAAATATTTTTTTACAGATAATTTATTTTTACAATTTTTACGTATCCATAATTCAATATAATTATTCTTTATACACATTCATATAAATTTTTTGTATTCTACAAATTTAGCATATCTTAGCTATGGGGTAAATTTTTGACAACTTAGTGTAAAATGAGAATAGATGAATCAGTATGTTGTGAGTTGTGTGGGAAGTATATAAACTTAGTTTTTTACATACGTCACTTACAAGTATCATTCATAGAAATCATAATTTCACTGAGTGCTCAAAAATGGGCTTAATTTGCTGTAAACAATATATTATCTCTATTTTTTTTTTTGTTTTTTCTCATACATCTCAGCAACTATTAGTTTTAGAACAATTTTCAATAGAACTAAAAGTTTTGTAATTAAATTTTACATATGATACATGCAGATGCCAACTTTAAAAATTATTATTATCAATGAAAAATCACAAATAATCACAAAAAACCTTTTTGTGATTTTATATTATATTATAAGTAGGCCCTTTGTACTTCGCGAAAAAAATCTTTCTAATATATTCAACCATCACACAAAATTTCAATAAAATCGATCAAATAGTTAGGAAGCTATAAATTCCATTAAAAAAATAAAATTAATTAATCATTAGAGTCTACAGATCTTTGTTATTAATTATTAATTTTTAAGCTAATGAACAATTAGAATAACTTTTTAAAGTTTTAACATTTTTTTTTCAAAGTACATGTTAAAATAACTGTAAAAGATGCTTCTTTAGGAAAGAAAAAAGGTAATTTTTTGTTAGTTCTGGAGTTATGATGGATCAAAGTTGACCATTGTTTACAATTAAAGCATAAGGGTACCAGGGCTATTTTTAGTTAATTCTTTATCATTTGGTGTACTCATCAGGCATACATAGTCAATACAAACAATCTTGTACAAAATGATTAAAATGTTGAACAAAAATAATTCATCAGTCAAAAAGACAGTAGGTAGAGCTTCCTAATTAAAGAATTTTAATTTTTTAAATGGATTTAAAAGCTTGAATTCTCTTATTCAACTATCTGAGAAGATCAGTTCTGGACTGGCATAATTTTGAAAATTAATAACATTTTTCAAAAAAATTAGATTGCAAAATTATTGTGCAAAAACTCTTTGATTGGTTTTATGAAATTTTGTGTGATGATTGAACATATTAAATTATAGATCTACATAAATAACATAAGTATGATAAATAAAATCACAAAAAAACTTTAAAAAAATGTTTAAGTAGTGCCAAAGATTAAAATCTTATATCAAGTATACACATTTATATAGTGTTTATATAAAAAATAAGAAATAATCATTTTGAATGAAATGAAAAGATAGAAATATGACTACAAAAGTTCAAATTTTACAATTATATATTTTTTATATAATAGATTATTGGAAATACATATTTCTTGATACCAAGTATCCTTTCTTGTCTGAACCAAAAGGGAGCTGGTGAAGGTCCACAGAAAATAAACAATATATTCTTTTAGAGTGGGCAATTTAAGCTTCCAGATAAGGAAGGATTTAATCTATATTTAATTTTTCAATGACAACTGCTTAATTTTTGTTAAATATGTTTTATAAAAATTGTGTATAACATGCTTATAATAAAATATGAAATAAGAGCAAAAAAATAAAAAAAAACTATTTTTATACGCCTGTATGTAGAAGATCTTCCTTTTATATTTATGGCTAATAATAAAATATTTTCTTACCTCTTCGGGAGCAAGAGGTTCCACACCAATATTATTAGCACCAATATAAATTACATTGTCCGTCCTAAAGTCTCTAGTTTTAAATATCCTATAAAACAGCACAGTAAACACTACAGTCACGGACGAAATTAAAAGATATTTTAACACAGTTTTTAAATTTCTTCTCATTTTGACGATCACAGATATTTCCACATAAGCATATTAACATTACTCTACAGCTTCAGCCTCGTTGAATTATCAACTCATTGCTGATAAGATTAGATTTAAATTGTGTACCTCCTCAGTAAATACTTTTAAAAAGCGCGTCTAACCTAACTTTAACATTGTCCGGACAGAAATGAATTTCTAACTTATTATAAGCAGTTTACCTCGTGACGTTAACTAATAAAATAATAGGAACTATAACATTCACCTTTATGGAAGGTAAAAATTGTGCATAATATTGTTTATAAATAAACGTAATTAGTTTGAAGTTGCACAATAACAAACTGACAAAGAGTTTGTTCGTTTGTTAACTGTCAAATATGTCAAATTGTCAATGTTATGTTATCAATTTATCTTGCATAGTTTCGTTTGTTAATCAGTGGCGCACTAACAAAACTGTTTCATACTTATTTTATTATTATGAAATAGTGTTAATTTAGGAAATATATTAAATGACGAAGCACGGATCTAAATCAAGACAATAAAAGATTAATTTAGTTTAGCTACAAAATCTATTCTGTGAGTTTTAATTAGTATTGTGCAGAATGTTTCGCGAAACTCCTAGAATGGACAATGCTGTTCTTGTATCTTTTGGATGAGTTTATACACATCTGTCTAGTCTGCTGGTTTGGATATGAACTTGGCGTCATGTTTAGTTAAAATTTTGCCAATACTACTACTACTTTGCCGTACTATTTTTAATATATAGGTACTATGAAAATTTTCCTAGTACTACCTTTCCTATAAAACTACCTTTTGGTTCTTCATTAGTAGTCAATATTGCGATTGACTTATCAATTCTGTCCCCATGTTTTTCCAGATTTATTCTTGCGTTAAGCTTTTCTACATGTAAAAACTACAAATTTTTAGCTTTCTCAGCATGTGGACTAAGGAGATGTGGCTAGAGGAGAGAGAACTGCTAGCCATAATCTTCAAGGGTCTAAAAATGAGAGAGCATATCTCACTGACTTCTTCTTCAGGATAAAAGTATCCTACCTGTCAAGAAATTCAAATATTTGGGCGTAATGCTCGATACCAATCAGAGCTTCGGCGAACACATAATATATATGCTGCGAAAAAAAAAGCCGATCAAATTGGATCAAACATAGAAAGTCCGGGGAAGGTAGAAGGAGAATTCTCGTGAAAGTGGTTCACTCCACCATACTATAGGTACGCAGCACCAGTATGGTAGCAGTGAATGCATTAACAAAAATACAGAAAAATGCTCAGAGTAAGTCCTTGCTAAGCTGCGAATTTAAGACCACTTCGACAGTTGCCTTGCAAGTGATAGTGGAAGTGCCACCAAATCACCCACTAGTGAGAGAAAGAGCAATCACGTACGCCATAAGTGAAAACGGCAAAGCAGACGAGAGAGAGATGACCAACGTGAAATGGCAAGAGAAGTGGCGGAAAGCAAGCATAGTGCTATTATATATAACAAGCGATACTTCTACAGCTAGCGCCGCTTCTCGCATCCTAATTTCCAGCGTTTTCTATCGAAGCAATCTTCAGTTGTTAGATCTCTGACGGTCATTGCATCGTCGACATCGTCTCTCCAGGATCGTTTTGGTCTACCTCGTTTTCTTCTACTTGGCGGAGTCTATTCTTCTATTTTTTTTTGGCCATCTATTTTCGGCATTCTCTGAAGGTGTCCATACCAGTTAAGTCTTTTGGCTTCGATTGTGTCTATTATGTCTAGATCGATTTCCATTTCTCTCCGAATATCTTCGTTTCTCACCCTATCAAGTCTAGTGAGCTGGCAACATCGTCTCCAGTCGTTCATTTCCATGGCCTTAATTTTTGATTCGTTTCTTTGGTTTATTTCCCAGAGTTCGGCGCCGTACAGCCCAATACTTTCTATTATTGTTTTATAAATTCTTCTTTTATTTTCTTTTGTTATTTTTTTATTGCATAATAGTCCGTGTAGCTGCCTGGTGGCTGATCTTGCCTGACCAATCCTGGAATGTATTTCTTCGCTACTTCCTGCTTTTGATGTTATTTGCTCTCCCAAGCATAGGGCTAAATGCATAAGAACACTCATACTGGAAATGAGTGTCTATAGTATATTGTATTTTCAATATACTAGGCAGAAACTTAAACTCTTCGCGCACAAGAACGCCAAAAAATGGATGCCATGAGATGTGTTGGTGAAGAATCCCGCGCATACCTTCGAGGGCTCATCGGATAAATGTCACCATTTTTAACAAACTTGACTATTAAAAAATGCTGCCCACAACATGTCTGCAGCAAATTCTACAGTTCTTTGGTTAGCACAGGTGGCGATAGCCACCAACCAGATGGTCCGATCAAATTCAGTAGGCCACTTATTTTGTGAAACTCTTAAAGCAGCTGAAGGTAAGAGTGCAATGGATAAAATTTGTTAATATTGAAGGAAATCACGATCCTCAGTAATGTCGAAACGACAAGAGAGAGATGTTTCTGACAATGAATCTATTAAAATATTCCCAAGCTGAGTGAATAGATTATACTTAATTTACTACTTAGGTGGGACTGGGATGAGTGAACCGGGTATATACAAGAAAAGTCAATAACAATTAATAATCTCTAAGTGAAACCACAAATTGTAAAAACAAGATTTATTTGCCAAAATATAGGACGCGTTTCGACATCACTGTCTCATAAGCTTAACCGTAGAAGCTAAATGGACTCTTATTAAAAGAAAAGTAGCTAGGTTGCCAACGTCATAGGAAATATCAAATTACTATTTGAAACTTCAACAGTGGGTTATTAAAAGGACTCAAAAAGTCCAATTACCCTCCTTTGGGTAACATTTTGGAGAGACAGGTTGTGATCAGAGCTAGTGACATGTCTCATGCCAGCATAAATATTGTTTTTACAATTTGTGGTTTCACTTACGAGATTAGAATTGTTACTATCTCACAAACCATATTAGAGATACTTTTCATTATGAAAAACAATCATAAATTTTAATACAATTGATGATAGAGATCACTCCTATTCAAAACATAATTTTTTTAGGAGTCATCAAATATAACACAAAATATGTATAAAATGCTTTATTATATAACATCAAAATAAGTATTTATGTCTTTGAATAATCTTTTACGGCTGTCTCTATTAAATTCTTAATAAGTGGAGTTCTCTCTTTTGATTCCTTAATGCATTGTTGAATTTCTTCTTGATTTAATGGGCTGCCTCCTGGTTTATGAACGCAGCACAACTCTTCATCTTTAAAAACGATAGTTAAAATACCAGAACACAAACTTTCTTCTTCTAACGTAGGATCTTTCAAAATCACTTTGCTAAAAAATGCGTATTTTAAGATTAATAATATCCATGTTTTTATATTAAAAGATAATTAAGTGTCAATTCATTACTAAATTTTTATTTCAATTTCAAATTAACCCATAAGACCCATGAGAATTTACAAACCTGGAAGGGGAAGACCACAGAAAAGGATGATGATATTTTATCAGAGAACATGGAAGAGCAAGATGGATGAACACAATTCCGGAAAGAGGGAAATACTGGACAAATAAAGGGTTCTAGATAAATAGATAGATGATTAAGTGTAAGGAAAGATAATTACAGGTTTTATTTATTTTTCAAAAAGAAAACAATCTGTAAATGAGACACATAAATGAATATAAATTCCTTTTACAAGGAAAACAATCAGAAGTAGTTCCTTTTATTTTTAGGAATGTGATCCGAAAACTGTGCCTATCATGATAATAGTTGGAGCAATAATATTTATTTTAAAGAATTAATTTTTCGCATGATCAATTGGTATAATTAAAAATTTTATATTTATTAACCATTTTTGGTTTATAAGATAGTAATACCATTTTTATATAACTGAATATCTCTTCAAAATAGTAAGGGTACAGTCTGTAACCCTCCAGTAGCTGTTTAATTTATTACTGACCAGAGTCTTTTAAGTGATCCAAATTCATTAATTAATGAGTCCAAGAATTAATGATTAATGTGATAAAAAAATTCATATGTCCCATAACTAAAGTATCAAAGAAGACATTATTAATTAAAATAATATGTAGAAATCATTATCAAGGCTACCAATAACCATCTATTTAGATCTTCTTTATAGCCTTCTATCATCAGTTTTTGGATATAGGACTCTCCCAACTCCTTTAATCCATCTGTATTCTGAGCAATATTCTTCCAATTTGTTCCGGCTATTCTTTTATGTCATTTACGCATCTTATCTGTGGTCATCTACTTTTATAAAATCTCCAATATTGTATTGTAGTGTTCCAATGTCAGTCTTTTTGTCTAGCAGTGTGGCCTGCAAAGCTCCATTTGAGTGGCATCTATTTAGAACAGCAGTGATAAAAAAAATAGTGACTGTTAACTCAATTATTGTCATATTTAAGACACAACCATTGGGAATTCAATTCTAATTCCATATTTTTTAAGTTACCTTCTATTCCCAGGATCCTGTACATTAAAATTTACCTTAAACACAGTTATACTTACTCATCAAATACTGCAAAAGTGGTAGATACTGGGGTATTATATATTTCAATGTGCTTTCTGTCTTCTAAGTTTACTTGTATGTTGTCTAAAGCTGGATCATAATCAATAAATGGTAGTGTAACTGAAAAAATAAGCACTTATCATGTTTAAATAGGATTTAGAGTACAAAATTTCTATTTTATTACTATATTTTCTTTCTTAGTAATAATATAATCAACTTCAAAAGACAGTGCCAGAAGTTGAAGAAGTGAACATATAAGAAATAACATGGTATTGAATGATACAGTTTCAAATGGAACATACAGAGAGCATATTTTAAATCAGCAACACTGCTCTGGAATGTAGAAGAGTTACAAATTTACAAATTAGAACAAAGTCATTGAGTAACACATAATCAAACATATCTATACTTACTAGTTTTAATTGCTCCTAAGAAACTAACTAGGCATGTATCAACTACTGATCCATCAAAATCTAGACAAACAAAATCCACATAAAGACACCAAACCAGCTTATCATTACATATACATAAATCTTTCAAATTGATACACTTGGAATTATCTATGATCTCTGCTATGAGTTGTGTAAGAACTTGAGCTTGGTCACTGGGTGGTCCTGGCCTAAATTTTGAGGAACATAGAGGAGGCAATTCTAAATTTGGAACCAAAAATCCTTTGTCTGGTGCATCTGCTTTAGGTTTACAGAGTTCCTGAAAAAGTATAGTAATGCATAAATGAATATATTCATAATATTGTTTCTATAATAATTACAAAGAATAAACAACTGAAGAACATTTAGGTTTACAAATGATAGATACTAAAAATTATTCTAAAAGTGTTTCCTTTTTTCAGTTTCTCCTTAATGTATCATTGGAAGTAGGTCTTATATCCAAGTGTCAGAGATTAGTGTGTCTCGTCTGAACTAAAAAAATCATTGGAAATAAATCTAATAAACTCTAAAATAAATTCTTGTTTTGTCTAGAAGTTGAAAAAACAAATACCAAGTTTATTTTATAATTTCAGTTTTTTTGGAGTAACAATTATTCTACAAATATTTCTTTACTCAAATAAAAAACAGAACACAACACATTATGCCATAAAACAGGATAGACCAAAAAGATGTTGTTTATCTCTAAATCTTAATAAGTACTGCTTGTACCACAAACAAGCATACTTCTGCGTCCACCTGTGTAAAACAAGTAAACTTGATTAAACAAGTTTAATATCAACAAATATCATGAATACATAAAGATATGCAATAATACTGTGATAGTGATTTTATGACACAAATCCATAAGAAACAGTCTATAATTATGGATAATTTCTGATTAGGTTTCTATACCATATATCACAAAATTTTTATTTCAAATCCTTTATAAAAGGTATATAATAATATAATTATTAAATTCACTGTTACAATGTTTTGTCAGAGAACTACGAACACTGCGTTCGTAGTTCTCTGGTTTTGTTTTATATAGAATTACACTTACAGCTTTAATACCACAAACTACAGTAGTATTGCCAACTTTAGCAATAGCTGATCCATCTGCTGTATCTATTGTTCCGACGTTGAGTAGAATGGGTCTAAATTTATTAAATTCTCTACCATCTGGGCGAATTTCGTGTGACAAATAGTCTCTGTAGTATTTTACAGGATGTAGAGACCTAGAAGAGATATATACCCTTTAATAATTTAAATAATTACCATAAACACAGTACCACTTACTTGTATTGTTGAGCCATTATAAGTCTCTAATATTTACAGAATTCAGTTTATATGAAATATCATCACTCTATTTTCCTTACTTTAATCATGAAAAACTTATTCATTGACTATTGACTCTCATGTACTCATGTGCTTTGTTTATATTTATCTAACCTCACTTTTTCATTTAATTTTCAGTGAGCGCACTTCTGGGTGCTTCTACGTATTATGTATTCATCCATTTAGTGATCCATTTTTAATATTATATAAGATAAATAAACAATATGATAAATTTAAAAACTTTTATATTAGTAGCGTAAAATAGATTTTATGATCTACTAAACTTATTATTCAAACAGAATAATTTCTTTTTTTTTTATTCTTTAAAATTAATATTCTGATTGGAATAAACGAATTGAAAAATTGTCAGTTAATATACGTACAATGTCCGATATAAACCTTTTTCTAACATGATTGCAATTATATATTTTATTGGAGGTTTCCCAGTGAAACAGTTATATTGAAATTGTAGTTTTTGAATAATGAATTTCTATTGGTAGATTTTATAGATTCAAATCAACATGTGATACCTAGGAATATTATGTTATCATTATAATACTTAAATATTTCTTTATTGCATTTTCCAATACAAAATTATATAGTGGGTTCTAATAATTAAAAGTACAGTTTACATAAATTACTGTTTTTAATCATTAAAATTAAATTAAATAAATGTATTTGACATTTTTGTATATATCACGTGAGTGTCAAGAAGAGAGTTGATTGGTAACTGTTCAAGATGTTTCAACTTTTCAACCGTCACAGCTGTTTGTTGGTACATTAGGTCGACGATCGTTTGTCGTGTTTGTCATTTGTTCCCGCATAAAAACTTAACGTTCTTGTTTTGTTGTCATGGTTCATGTGTAATGACCGTTAAAAATTTGCCGGTTTATTTTGCGTAAGTTCGGCCGGAAGTGATTGATTATTTATATATATTTTACAAACGATTATAGTTCTACATAATGGAGACAGTTCAAAATGAAAATAAGGAAAATTTTGTACATGATATACAAAAGCAAAGCGCCATGGCCGTTCCTCAAAAACGACCATTGGGCCAGAGAAATACCAACGTGAACGTGGATCCACAACCAGTTCAAATGAAAGAAAAACAAGTTAGTAGTTGCTGCAGTACCTTTTTTTGCTTTCATTCTAACAACCGATGTTCTTCCATGTTTCATATTTTCAATTCCCATTATTTACACACTTCCTCATTGCTTTTTACCTAATTTGCGATAAGATAATAACATTGTATGTGCATATTTATAATTGATCTTAACTCTTGAACAACAGAAATTAAGATGGCGATTCTCAAGGGTATCTTATAACTATTCTAAAAAAGTAATCTCTAGTTTTTTTTAGAATGTTATCATCATGTGAATTTCCAGTTGTAGAAATGCAAGTTGGATCACACTTGACCAATTGTTATCTTAACATCTGTAAAAATATTAAAGCAAGGTTCCTATAAAATTTGGTTATTTTGGTTTAACATGCAATGATATATTTGAAGGGATATTCCTTTCAATCATAAAATACTCAACCTCTACTATGAAATGTTACCTCTCAACATCTATACAGCATCTCTCTGAAAAATTCAAATGCAAGGAAAAAATACTGACTGAGAATAGGTTTATAGATATTCAAGTGGCCAAAACATTTTGGTTTTGATTTGTCAGATGTACTTTTGATCATCTTATATATTAGAGATTTCCTGACACACGGTTTGTTCATGATTACTTCTTTTTATATTTGTTTTATTCTGTTTTTGCTAGTTCAACAAAAATATGTCAACCTCTCTCTGCTGTTTTCTATTTATTTGTTATTCAGTTATATGGAACACTAGAGCCAACAGCGAAGGATCAACAGTGACATTGCTTAACTGCTTGGCTGCCACAAGCCAGTTATCCCTGTAGTGAGTTTTCTGACAGCTCTTGCTGAAAACTTTGAAGCACCAGAATTGCTGCAATGCTGCACTCATTTTTAAATGTACTCCCCTTTTTTGCCACCGCACTCATCCAATAGTAACATGTTTTAATCATTGTTAATCATTTTTAATTTTTAAAAAATGGTTTCAAAGTATTTTCCATGCAGTGAAGTTTGTCAATTTTTGAATTTTCTTGCCATACTTAGCTGGAATACAAAATAAACAACTCCATCACATTTTTATTTGTGCCATTGTTTTTGAGATAAATTAAAATTTTCCTACCAAATTTTAAAAAAAAAATTTTTTAACTTTAAAAACTTTCTGAAGCAAAGCTTCTATACTGGCATTGCATTGTTTTTTCTCTACAGTAAAATGCTGAGGCGAGCGTAACGGAACTAGTGCTATAAGATGGCATAGCCACAGGTAGCATCATAGAATAGTGGTTCTTCTTTACATTGATTCTCTATTCTTGATGAATTCATTTCTAGTCATCATATATTTGCTCCAAGCAGGTTTAAATTAAAAACTGCATAAAAATATCTAACAAAATGTAGATATTAAATGAGAAGTAAAAAAATTAAAGAATATCTGTGGGGTTCAAATTTTAAAGTTATACCTGCTTCAGCTTTGCTCAATACTAAATCTGATATTTGGAATGTCTGATCTCAATGTTTACTATCAGCATATATCCTCCTAATATCTTATTGGCTCTCATGAGTTTCCCTGGACTGACTTAAGGTATCAGTAAGTAAACATAAGTAAGGCGTAATCAGAGGTACAAAGTTATCACTTTCAATTATAGCTCAAATATCTTGTTTAATCATCTGAGGAACATAGTTCTCATTCGAAGGTAAGATAAGCAGGTGTAAAACCAGTAGATTGACAAACAGTAGTATTCATAGTAAAACAAACACAGCTTAGCTTTTTTCCAGCTGATATGGTCAGTTGAGGTCAATATAGTAAATTGGGTTTTCTGATCATGGTTCTTGTGTTCAACAGGTTTGTCAGCAGGATTATAAACAGAAATCAGACTGACTAAATCCTAAAGCTAAATTTGTATCATCTCGACGGCAAAACTTCGCTATCTTTTTATCCAAGTACCCTATCGACAAAAATCAAAATGCGTTTTAAAGGTAAAGAGTGCAGCTTTCGTATGCAGTTTTTGTATTTTGCCGCGAATAAACTCAGTTTTTATAAAGGTGTTAAATAAATAAACATGGCGCGATTTTTTCTCTTTTTAAGATTCTCTCTTTCATATGAAATTTCAATTTTGAGTTGTGGCAACAAATTGGCAACTGTAGCAAATGTGGCAACAGATAAGGAGAGGGGTCAGGCAAGGTTGCATACTGTCGCATTGTTTAATGATTATTCTGAAGAAATCATACAAGAAGCTTTGGTAAACGAGGCAGTCAGCATAAAAGTGAACGAAAGATCTGACATTGGCTCTCAGAATAAGGCTAATTAAATGCTATGTACACAGTGTACTCTACTATAGAGCTGAATCATGGAGTTTAAACCGGAATACAATAAATTGACTTTGAACGCGTTTGAGATGTGGTCATTTAGAAAATTGTTAAGGATTCCATGGGTAGATAGAGTCACGAATGCAGAAGTTTTAAGGAGAATGGACAGAGAGAGGGAAATGGAAAATACAATAAAAGAAAGGAAATTGCAATATCTCGAACATGTAATGAGAGGCGAAAGATTCAACATCTTGAGACTCATAGTTCAAGAAAAAATAGAGGGTAGGAGAAGCATAGGAAGAAGACGCGTTTCCTGGTTGAAGATTCTGAGAGAGTGGTTTGGTTGCAGCTCAAGGCAATTGTTCAGAGCAGCTGCCTCGAACGTCAGAATAGCCATAATGAGTTCCAACCTTCGTCGAGGAGATGGCACTAAAAGAAGAATAACAAATATGAGGCATTTGAAATATGAATAAAAAGCTCACAATTTAATGTTTTACATTTTAAGCGATTGCACGTCACAGGAAATGCCTCCAAGAAGACGGTTTTGGGTGTAGTTTTATAGCAAAAGTTTGGTTCTTTTGAAAAACGTTCTAGTTTTATTGAAAAAAAAAGTTTTCAACGTTTTAGATTATTTGGTATGTAAAAGATTAAATTCACTGCTTTTTAAGCATTTTTCAAATGAGTCATTTGTTGCCAAAACTCAAAACTGAAATTCCATGCTATAGGTTTTGAAGGTTAGACTCTATAATAGTAATCGAAACTTTGTAGTGGTCAGTCATTAAACGGGATAGTTTATATTGATCTCGTGAAAATCATAAAAAATGCCAAACATCGCGTTTCTTTATTTAACACTTTTATAAAATCTAAGTTTACTTGCGCCAAAATACAGAAATTTCATACGAAAGCTAAGCTCTTTACCTTTAAAACGCATTTTGATTTTTGCCGATAGGACACTTGGATCAAAAGATATCTTGAGCTTTCATTCAAACGGCATTTCACATTCAAAATCGACGATCGCTTCAAGTGTTTTTCGGAGATAACGGTTCATTCTACACAAAAAGTGATAATAAACATTTTTGTTTAAAATTGTATCAGCTACATTTTTTATTTGAAACATTTTTTCTACGGCGTACAGAACCATCAGTTTGTTAAACCACTTATTGAAAATTTTTATGAAGGTAATACGTGGTCGTATCGACAATAAATGCGATGAATAATCGACAATAAATGCGATGAATACCTAGATGACACTCAGTTTGGTTTCCGTAACGGATTTGGAACGAGAGAGGCACTGTTTGGAATAAACGTACTTGCTCAAAGATGTCGAGATATTTATATCTGTAGACATATACTGTTGTTTTATTGACTTCCAAAAGGCATTTGATCGTGTTAAGCACTCTATATTGATCGAAGCTCTAAAAGACATTGGCTTGGACGGCAGAGATGTTCGAATAATTGCAAATTTATATTGGAATCAAACAACATCAGTTTTAGTAGATGGTGTGGAATCACAGGCTCTCAATATTAAAAGATAAGTACGGGAAGGATGCCTCTTGTCACCCCTGCTTTTCAACATTTACTCCGAAAGAATTTTCAGAAAAGCACTTTCTGAAAAACAAGAAGGAATACTTGTGAACGGTGAAGTCACGAATAATTTGCGATATGTGGACGATACAGTACTCATAGCTTCTACTCAAGAAAATCTGCAAACACTACTTGATAATGTCATTGAGAGTTGTAGGGAGGCATGTCTGGATCTGAACATACGGAAAACCAAAATACTCGTAATAAGTAAACAACAGCATATAAAACCCTCTATATATGTAAATAATAACAAACTTAAGCCAGTTGATAAAATCGTTTACCTTGGACAGCATTAAATTGAAACACAGAAAGTCACGGCGAAATTAGATCTAGGATAGAGCAGGCTAGAGCTGCTTTTAGAAGGATGTCAAAGGTGTTATGTAACAGAGACCTAAAATTGGCATTGAGGATCCCCCTACTTCGCTGCTACGTGTTCTCGGTCTTACTTTATGGTACCGAGTCCTGGACTGTGAATAAAATCGATATAAATCGTCTTGAGGCTTGCGAAATGTGGTGCTATAGAAGAATTTAAAATGTTTCCTAGGTGGAGAAGATTCGAAACTCCACAATTCAAGAACGTCTCAGCAAGACTACTGAGATCATAAAAAGCATCAAGCAGAGAAAGCTGGAGTATTTCGGACATGTAATGGGAGGTTCCAAATATAGGTTGCTACAAAATATCATGCAAGGAAAAATAGCAGGCAAAAACAGTCCAGGACGAAGAAGAACCTCATGGTTGAAGAACTTGCGAGATTGGTATGGTGTTGATACAAGCATGCTATTTAGGGTGGCAGTGAATAAAATTAAGATAGCTATGATGACAACCAACGTTGTGAAAGGACATGGTACATGAAGAAGAAGTACAGATTCTTGGTTAAATCGATTTTTTTTGCGTTTTTAACCCCCTACGAAGGGATTTTAGGGGAAAACCCCAGGGTAAAAGGTGTGAACTTTTTTACATCTTTTTTGGGGCCCCAAAATTAATGTTCTCAGTAAAATTCAGTTTGTTCATAGGATTTTTAGAGGTTGAGTGGAATTTTCTTCTCTGACGACTGGAGTACATCGCTTTTGATATTATCTGTCGGAAAAACAAGATATAAGTATAACATCTGAATACAATGTAATATAACAAAACACTAGCCGCTGAAGCCTACATTCTTTTTATTTTGTTTTGTTTCTTTAATTTATCCAACACATATTTCTTAGTCTATTCCAAAATGTTTACCTTTATTGCTTCCTTTGTCTTTACAATATTTATATCAAGTTTATTAATTTCATTCATTGACAAATATTGCAAAATTACAGTGGTGAAGCAAATTTTTATTTATATTGTTATTACTGCTATTTTTAAACCAAGGACAAAGTAGCTCCAGTCATATTTACTCTAATTAGGTCAATGGCCCCATATACATATTTAGTTATTGCCAAGTTAATAAAGACATCAATTTTATTAATTATAGCAATATAGTTATCATTCATAAGTTTAATTGGGGCCAGAGAGTAATAGTTTATAAATACAAATTGTTTAACACTATCAATTTCGAAAATAAAAACAATCTTAAATGTTTATAATTTAAATAATGGTTTTAAAAAGTTTATCTTCTTTACAGAACTAATAGATATAAGTGAATTTTACTTAACCTTTTGGCTTTGGCACTAGTATTATTTATTGAGCAAACATTCATTTAGTTAATACATCAAAACATGTGAAGTCGAGTTGAAGAGATAAACCGGTTTTAGATCCTCCTAGCCCGAAGTGCCGTTTTTGTTGATGTTGGTGCCGGTCGGCGATTATGACGGCAAACTGATCTCCGTCGTAGACTTGATAGAGTATTTCCGTATTTCTTGATAAATGTAAATTTAATGTTTTTGAGACACGATTTCTGTTTTCTCCCTAGGCTCTTCTTCCGTCTAATATCCCTTCTATTATCAATTACAGCTGCCCTTTTTCCCATATCTCCCACATGTCCCAAATATGACGTTTTTATTTTTATTGTATTTACAAGTTGTGATCGGTTGGTTTTCGTTATTGGTTGGCTGTATAGCACTTTGACGGATTTTATTAATTCTTAATTAATATTTGTGCTTTCCATTGATTGCCATGCAGCTTCTTCAGTGGAACGCTGTCGTAGGCTTTCCGCAGGTCGACGAACAACATATGATCCTGCTTGTTCTTATGCTTCATAATTTAACTATTTTCTCTCCATTCGGTTCTTTAAAAACTTTCCATATATTCGACTCATTGATCCGGTTACAGCTATTCCTCTGTAATTTTCACAACTATTTTTATCGCCCTTTTTATGTATATTACTGAAGTATGATATCTTCCATTCCGTAGGGATTTCGCTTGTGTTTATGCATTCTTGAAATAGTTGTCTAAGACATTCATACAATTTGTTCGTTCCATACTTAAACAATTCTCCGGGTATATCCCCTGGTCCGGGTGCTTTGTTCCTCTTCAGCTGTTTACATACATTTTTAATTTCCTCTGTTGTTAATCTTATTGGCGAGCCGACTATTGATATTCTATCTTGGTTTTGATTTCTATGTTCTTGAAATTCAACTCTATTCTCTACCAAAAGTTATTTGAAATACTCTTCCCAGTCTTCAGGTTTTATGCTCTGTATTACTTCTTTATTCTTTTCTTTTCTCAATTTTTTTATTTTCCAGCTTTCTGTGCTTCTGGTTTCTCCTAGATAAGTATTTATTTGTTGGCAGTTTCTTTCTCAAAAAATAATACACAAATAATAGTAATACACAATGAAAAAAATGATCAAGACAACTTTTATTTTTATTTACACACAAAAAATTTTGAAAATACAAAAATAGAATTTATTTATCTTCATTTTCTTTATTTGCGGCAGATGCATTAAAAACTTTAAATAAAAACACCAGACGCTTGGGCTGTGTGAAGTTGTTTTATAACATTAATGATGTTAGTATCAATACTTCTGTGAATTTTCCACCACTCAATCGAAAATGTTTTTGAAAAGGTACCGTTTTTGTCTGAAACTTTATAATTATTGACAACACATCAATTTCAGGATACTTTTCTTTTGCGAAGTCCAGTGCCTTTGATGTCTCTTCTTGTGTTAAATCTATTTTTACTCAAATCACTTGGGTCAAACATATATGATAATAAAATGTGCTTCTGTTCCATTTCATACCGATATTTAATTTTTTTTATACACTCCTCATTTCCAATATTAAATCAAATTGTTTTCAAGCTCCTATACACGTCAGAATCACTAATTCTACATATATTACTTTGTATTGTAATCAAGTGCTACGTAAATGGATTTATGTAGTAAAAGTATATCTTTTGCACTTCTTTTAATTCCTAGATTCTCTACATTAGAATGTATATCTTTGTCTATCGTCTGCCTATTTTCTTTACAAATTTTAAGCAATGTTGACCAAGCTTTACTTATTTTGATAAGACAGGATTCCATAAAACTTTCAGTTTTCTGTCTTTTTCAATTTTAAGCTACGAGTTGAGATGATTGGGGGCTAGAAGAAGTACTTGTTCTGGATATCATTACATCTCTGTCTTCAGTACCTGCACTATTGTTTCTCTCCATTGAAAGAATTGAAAGAAGTCACAGTTTCTTGAATATCTGAAGACAAAAAATATTTTTTTATATAACATATAAGTTCTTAATACTGCTAAAAGAATAAAAAAATAAGACATGAAAAGTTTCTCCTAGTTTCCTTATACTGTTATAAAAATTTCTGTACTAGATTCGAAAATACACAGTACACAAAAAGGGGGGGAGGGACAATAGAAAAAATCAATCTTCAACTATAAATTTATATGGTATTAAAAAACAAAATACGGGTTTTATTTTTTTTTGTAATGCTTCTGCTGGTGCCATCTTAAGTTATAAAAATGCAGAAACATCAAAATGTTGTATTGTGATAACATCACATGTCAAATTTTAAATAACTGTGACACTGTTGAAAATTTGTAACAAGTGAAGAAATAGGCCAATATAAAAGCGAAATCATATAGTTATGCATGTACAAAAATATAAAAAAATTGTTATTGTTAATTGTTATTAATTTACCATGTTCATTTAATAATGTTCACTTAAATACTATAGGAAGAGAATATGAAGATACAGTGCAATTTAAGCATTCTTTCTGAGATGATAATGATAGATCTGACTAAAGTCATGTAGCCAGCACACTGTTTGGGTTCCATACCCATGATTTCCCATATATCCTTCAACGTGTCCAAAGGAAAGGTGTCACTTTGTTCTTTACAGATGGGCGTTCTATGTAAAAGCCGCTTATCTTGTATTACTCCTACATATTTGATCTCATTTGCCTCTGACAGTTTTTCCATTAAGAGCGGGCATTCAGATATTTATTATCTAGGCTCTGTCTCCCTGTGAAACTGAAAACTGACTACTACTCTTTTGCAGGATTGACAGAGAGTTTTACCCTTACGCACCGTATAGTAACGTTCTTGGTTATTTGTGCTTTATATTTTTTTGGAAGTTTGTTTTTACTAATTAACTTTGTTATTTGCTATTTGGTGCTAAACATGCAGTTATAATTATGATTCATACAACAAGAAACCCAGTAAAAATATTATTACATTTCCGTTTTTTTTTTCAGTCATTTACAGTACCCAGTTCATTCAATGCATTTAAACAACAACTGGAAAGGGGCAAACATAAAGGAACCAAAAATATAAATAAAGAAAATAATTGCCAGAAAGGAAATAAGAACATAGTCAATCCAGTTATCCCATGCAACCAGTTTAAAGACTTTAAAGTATTTGAAGATGAACGGTATCCAGAAGAAAAACCTAAAGCTCTTGTTTCAAAAAATCCACCGAAAGTACAAGTATATGAAGATACCAAGGAAGACACAAAAGTTGAAGTAAAAGCGCCAGAAAACATTGTAGAAAAGGAAAATATAAAAAAAGATTTGGATTCACCCAGTCTAAAGACATCTGATGCACATTTATTCATGACTATAGATGATATTTACAAAAAAGACCATGAATTTCCCTCAACAAAACGTATGAAAGATATTTTTTTCGAAATGGAAGAATACAGATCTGATATTTATCACTATCTAAGAGAACATGAGGTAAGTTTTGATTTTTAGAGTAATTTTTGTTAGTGAAATGAAAAAGCTAAATTTATTTTTCATACATCCGATAACAAGAAACTTTTCGATTGTGTATAACAAATTCACATTGTATATAATAAAGTACTGATTTCAGTTATCTATTTTTGTTCGTTTTGCATTGGCACTTTCCCTGTCAGCTTTTTGAGGCTTAAATGCAGATTTAAGCCAATCATAAATAAATATAATATATAATCATAATATATCATATATAATCATAGATAAATGCAGATCATAAATAAATCTGTACATGTACTCTTTTATTAAGAATTAGTCTGAAACTTGGTCTAGTCTGCATTTTTCAATGTAAAGTTTGTACATTTTAGGTACAGACAACAATGGTGATAAGTATTTTTTGTTTGGATTGTTGGCTCTAGAATAATGAGAAAACTCAGCAGGAAACGAAGCAATATGTTCCATAACATATTTTTTTACATCTGGATCAAGTTTAGTAGTTGTTATGCTTGCCCCGTTTGTCTAACTCCGGCCGGCGCTGACAAACCTTTTTTATCTGGTTTTGGATAAGAAATACTTTCTTTCTGCCTATTTGGTACAATGATGTTAGGGCTGATTTACAAATTGGCACATGAGTTCCATTTACTGTAATAATGCACTTAAAAGATGCAGTTTTATGTCTGTTTGCACCCTTACGTTTTCGCTGAGGTTACTTATGGAAATTGATTTAAAAAGAATTACATTTTTTAAAGAAGTCGTTAAAAATTGATACTCTTGTATCATGGTTAATCCTAGTTGAACATTTTAATCGACATTTCTTATTATAAATAATATTATCCTCGTTAATGCGCTTGGCGGGAATCGCTACACCTTTACAAGATAAGTAACTTTCTCCACATTCTCTTGCTTTAGCAGCCACATTTCTTTTCCATTGTTTTTTGTTTTTATGTCGTTTCCTGGACAATTTTTGTTTTTTACTTGTGTTTCTACATCTAAATGGGCCTGGGCACTATTAGTAGGGCTACTCACCACTCTATCCTCAACACACCTGCTGTTTGTAATTGAAATGGGAATTTGTCAGTGTACCACATCACTTTCCGCATCAGACTGTGGATGTATTTTTGCTGTAGAATTTGTACTTGTTAAAGGGGATTCTAGAAGATTAGTTTTATATCGACAAGAAAGAAGCCTTCTAGAAGAGGAAATGCGAGCACATCTTGTATAATCATCATCACCATTATCCTCACTATCACTATGGATATCTGAGTCCTGTACATATTCATCACTTGAGGGATCGTTGAAAATGCAAGTGACATCTTGATTTTCATCTGAAACCAAACAAATATAGTAATCTATATCATTGTTCTATAAGCTTATAATTATAACATTGCGTTTATTTTGTTATTTGATAAAATATTGTCTACTTTAACTTCAAAACCTTTCATGTGAGAAAAACAATATTTTAATTTATTTGTAATGGTAATTTACTGTAGTATATTATTTTAGGTTAGTTATTTCATCAAGCTTACCTTCATAACTGTCTTCTTTTGCCTGTTTAAGAGCCAATTCTAATATTTGTTTACTTCTTCTCATCTTGCACTTTATTTTACGTCAACAAAGCAGTGACTAAGTGGATGAAGGTGTTATGTGCATGCTGAAGACACATGGCACCTTCTCCCTCCAAACATTCTGCATATTAGTGTATCATAACCAATTCACCAGCTGAATAAATACTAAGTTATGGCTAGAAGTGAATGGGAGATAGTACTATGAGAAATAATAACACATAACGCCTTCATCCACATAGATACCCCAATTTTCAAGCAAACGTAACATAACACCTTCACCTTCCAAGCCCCTCAATTGCCAGTCGGACTCACAAAATAGTGAGTTTCTCTAGATGGTAACTGAACAACAAATATGTATGTCTGTATATTGATACAAATAATAACTGGCAACTGAGAACTAAAAATCGAATAGTGATTTTTTTTAAATTAACTAAAAACCAATATAATCTTAAGAGAGATTATGCATAATACTTGAATAAAGTGGTTTAGAAGAAAACGAATATTCTAACCCCACACATAATTTATTACAAATAAGGTCTTTTAAAAACTTAAGAGATATGAGAAGATGGAGATTTAGATGTGGGATGCATCAGTAGTGGGCAACACAGTGATATGATAATAAAAATCGAATAACATCAATATTTGAAAACAATTTAAATAAATAACCACAATACATTGTAATCGTACACTGCTAGTTAAGTTGTATACAAGTTTAATTATTGATAATAACATATTTTTTTTACAGTTACGAAATCGACCAAAACCTGGATATATGAAGAAACAACCAGATGTTTCATCTAATATGAGGACAATATTGGTAGATTGGTTAGTAGAAGTAGCTGAAGAGTACAAATTACACACGGAAACGCTTTATCTTGCAGTGAATTATATCGATCGATTTCTGAGTTATATGTCAGTTGTAAGGGCCAAGCTGCAATTAGTTGGAACTGCAGCAATGTTTATCGCTTCGTAAGTAGTTTTGTAGATATTTATGTAATACATTGTGGCATTGGCGACTCTAGCATTACGCCGCATAATCGTGTCTTTCCCATAAATACAATGCATTGAAAAAGAACCTAAATGATACAATAAAGCTAATTTCTCACTCATTTTATTAATTAAATCTCACTCAGTTTATTAGTTATGTGTAATTAATCTTCCGTCTAAATATTTTATGTATAATACATTATGCAGAACATGTCCAAAACTAATGCTCTCAGCTGAGTCAATACCAATCAGTTAGAATCATATTATTCTCTTCATCAGAATTCAAATTGACTACCATGAGTGAACGAGGACTAGAATGTAAAACAGGAATTGTATAGTGAGATTGAAGCTATATATAATCAAAATTATGGGAAGTTATTGCTAGGCTTTGCGCAAGAGAACAACTTAAACAAGAAAGAACAAGCAAGAACTTAAACTCTTTGAAGCGAATTGGGGCAGACCACATATGAAGACACAACTGAAGACTACCACATACAACTGCAGTAAAGATTATTGCTTCAAAAAGGTGACGGAGTTTGAGTATCTAGGAGTAACCCTAACAAGAAATTGAGAAGCAGATTTCGAGAGGAAGGAGACGAACAAATGCAGAGATCTGAAAGCTGTGCGTGAAACCCGAAATTAGTCAGATCGTCAGTACAAATTGACTTAGGTGGTTATTTATCTTGCGAGAAAGGTAGATGGAAGGTATGCAAAGGGGTCTCTGCTGAGAGAAGGGAAGAAAAGAAGATATGAGGACGACCACGAAAAAACTGGCTAGAAGCGTGTAAGGAAGACCTACAAACAATCGGGATAACAAATTGGAAAACTACGGTCAAGGACAGAAAAATGGAGGAAAATAGTGGAACAATTCCAAGCCATGGGCCTGTAGGGCCTGTTGAGCTGAATATATATACATATACATAATAAGTGAACGAAAGGTAAAAAATGAAGTTTTACCCGTAATTTTTTTACAAAATTCTCAAAAAAGAATTCATTTACCATAATTATTGAGATACAAACAGAAACCAAACAGTTGTCTATGTTTTACAAAAGTTAAAAAATAAAAGATACCCGATACATTCTATTTATTAATTTTTTATTTTATAGGAAATACGAGGAAATATATCCACCAGAGATTAGCGAATTTGTATATATTACTGACGACACATACACGAAAAAACAAGTACTAAGAATGGAGCAGTTGATTTTAAAAGTTTTAAGTTTTGATCTCTCAATACCTACTCCGTTAACATTTATCACAGCAATGTGTGTTAGCAACAATTTGAGCGATAAAACTATGTATCTCGCCATGGTAAGTACATACTTCGTGACAGAGTACTTAAGACTCTTATTCATATAACTTAAGGCAAAAATGTAGGGCATCTTAGGGAGAAATTGTACTCATAGTTCTCAATGATGTCGCTTAGAGGAGATATATGCAATCAATCCCTTAAACTGCTTCATTAGAGCAGTAAAAAAGAAATGTATACACGGTTGTAAATGTAAGAACAATCAATTGGCACAATTCAACACTTCTTCATCTTAAAGTAATCCAACTTTGGACATAGGTCTGGTCTATTTTGCGTCACTTGCTTCCAGTTGTGTCCTTAAATCTTCTTAATGTCATCAGCCCATCTCATTTGTGGTCTTCCTCTGCTTCTCTTTCTTAACCATGGTCTCCATTGTTGTATTTTATGGTTCCATCTTTTATCCTTTAGTTGTGCATTGTCTCCTGCGAAGCTCCATGTTAATTTGGCGGCATTGTTCTCCTGTGTCTTACTTTGGTTTTGCTTCTAATCCATTTGTTTGTTTCTTGTCTATAAGTCTCACCCCGAGCATTGATCTTTCCATCGCTCTTTGTGCTTATACTATTTTATCCATATTAGACTTGGTGACCATGCTAACCTTATTCTTCTGGTAATTTCGGCAGTTTGATTTTCTTTGTTAACTTGCATTATCTGTCCCAGGTAGATGTATTCGCTTACTGTTTCTAAATTATGTCGTTCAACGATATTTCTCTAATGCTCGGTGTATTTGTCATTATTTTTGTTTTTTCCAAGTTCATCTTAAAAGCTCTTTTTCCGAAGCTTGAAATAGTTGCGTCATCATGTTCTGTAATTCTTCGAAACTTGTAGCGAATATTAGAATGTCATCAGCATATCTCAAATGACTCAGTTTTCTTCCATTAGCATTTATTCCTTTAATCTACCCAGTTAATGTCTTTGAACACGTCTTCCAGTTCAATTATGAATAGCTTTGGTGAGATAATATCTCCCTGGCGAACTCCTCTGTTGATTGGTATATCGTATCTATTTTGATTCGTTTTATTGAGCTTGTGCCTCCTCCAGAATCCGTGAGGCTGACCGGTTTTCCGGTGTGGGATTCTGAGCTGCTAGCTCTACCCACCTGGAGTATCGTCCCATTTTGCTTCCAAGTTCAACATGTTGTGTTTTGAGGGGTATATTGGCATTAGAACACCACGCTTGCCGGATGGGTTGGTGACTGTTCGCAGTATCACAGCCGGTTAAATCAGTATTCGTGGTACCGCACCTGTCAGTATCATGTCCTCCGTTGATCCGCGGGTACTTATTTGGCGAATCCTTATTTATACCTGTCCTGCATATCTAAAGGAACATTCCCTATCAGGCATTGGGACGCGCCGTGTCTGGATTGAAGGCTTCCCCGCCCAGTCTGTCTTGTACAAAGTACTAAAGTACCCCTACTCAGTTCAGCGTCCCTCCCCTACACAAGCTGAGAGCGGCACTGACAATTCAACACAGCTATCAGAATTTATTTAAATAAACAATTATCCTTGGTTGTAAATATCGTTGCAAGGAGTATCGGGATAGAAACTAAAGAAATGTGCTTTCGTCATACCGAAACAAGCAAAAACTGATATTTTGATACTATATACAGAAAAAAAATACTAAATACAGACCATCAGGAGACTATAATCTATATAATTTATATTTTTTTTTTCAGTATTTCAGTGAGTTGGCGTTACTTAACGGTGACATCTACCTGGAGTTCCTACCATCAATTATAGCCGCTGCAGCCATAGCACTTGCCCGCCATACGTTATGCGAAGAAGCTTGGCCTAAAGAACTCGTTCAATCTACAGGCTACGAGGGTTATCAATTGCAGTCTGGCATCGCATTTTTATATCAGATGTTTGTTTCTGCTATGACTTTACCCCAGCACGCTATACAAGACAAATACAAGACCAGGAAATGTATGCATGTCTCTACTTTAAAACCTCGCGATGTAGCGTTAGAGTTATAATTTAATTAGGAATATTTGTAATATATTTGTACTTTTAGCTTAATTTTTAAGGAACTATTTTTACTGAAATGTGACGTTTCGTTTTACAGTATTTTTAACGGCTTTTTCTTATTTGTTCGACTGAATTTACACTACATTATACATTTCGTTTAAAAAGTTTTCTTTCACAAAGAAAAAGGCAAAGCTGAAATGCTCAACCCAAGTGATTCGTGGAAAGGTCTCTGTTTTATTTCTATATTTTCACTTGGGTTTTGTATAAGAAATCTCGTATATGTTTATATTTTGTATGTTTTTATCCATTGCTTCTTCTATTAATCCATACGCTATTAAAGTTATCTCAAAACTATTTTTAGTCGAATAAATCACCTAAACGTCATGAGGAATCTTCTTTTTTACATGTAAGTGCCATTCCCTACTGTTAAAGTAATTTGTGTGAATCTTCTGCTAGAATTTAAACTTTTAGTCTTTAATCTTTAATGCATTTGTAACTGTATCGAATTTTCCATTTTCTCATATATTTTCCTTTTATAATTGACTCACTTGACGTATTCATTTCCGGCAACGTTTTATTCATACTGCAAAATATCAATAAGTGGGGCCGTTGCTATGCCGGTTCAACCAAAACCTGGAGTAATCGAAGAATATATAGAAACTCCACCACCAAAAATTGTCAACTTTGGCTGTTCTAATTTTATTAGTAGCTTTCGTGCAATACGATCCCGTAATTTCTTCGGGGAATTCACATTTTTTAAATATTTAGGTAAACGGTGCGTAAATAAAGGGTGTTGTGATGTCTATCGATGCATTTTCGAGAACCAGACACCTGGTTGACTGGATTTCGGTTTTTAATATTCTTACAATTTTGCTTTTGTATATCAAAAGGTGAAATTATAGTTGTTTGAAGTATTACCAAGTGGATGTTGTTCTTTTGTATTCTTTTTGAAGCCTCTTGAGTTTTAGAAGATACTGTGACATAACGTAAATAAATTTTCTTTGATAAATGCGCGAAAGTTATCACGTGCTCAAGACACCCCTTCATGCAGAAATGCAATTCTGATTAATTGCTCCCCGATGTACACTTTACAATTTAGGATACATCTTTTTCAAAATAGTCAATTCGAAAAATGTCTGTTGCATTGTAAAGTACCGACGCCATTACCCATTACGCCGGTTGTATCTTTCTTGCCTTATTTGTATATGAAGAAGTGGTTTATAATCATTACTTATAATGCTATTAGGTTTAGAGAGTGTAGTGCTCAATTCATGTTTGACTGTCCAACTTCTTCAAACGATTGTCTACAACCACTTATGAGAAAGAGTGACAGTATTTACGTGGAATCTCAAGTATTTTCAGAATATTTTTTATCCGGATGCCTGAGAGTTGAGCGCAACCTATGGAGTTCTACTGTGTGTTCTGATACCAAAAGTGATTCAGTATTAAAATACGTAATACTAGGTTTTAATAAATGTACATTATTTGCTGTTAATCGAACTGAAAAATGATCGTACATTGGATAATATGTGGATGTCTTTTCTTTGTAGCGGAATAATGTTTGAATCTTTTGCGGGGTATTGATTGACAGTTATTGGTGTAAAATATATAGTAAATAATATACGGAAGGTGATCAAAACGTTCCAGGATTAAAGTTTACAAATGTCATTTAAAAATCAAAAATAATTCAACATTATCACTTTAAAAATATGTACTACCCTTGGTGACAGACACACATTCCCAAAGTTTTCATTTCTGGAAGGACCATAACAACTGTTCTTGTGCAATGCTGTTTGGCTCTTCGAGCGATTTTTTATTAATGCCTTGCCTTTGGATAAACCCTGGCAATTGTCACAGCGTTTGAGGGCAACAAAAATTATTTATTTCATCTTGTAAAAGGAATTCGTGCATGATTTCGAAGATCGATGCTACATACTGTTTTTTTTTGGTTCCAGAAAGGTTGTTGATTTTCATCGGGATGAGTCGACCTTCGGTTCCACATCGTAACCATAAGCCCACGTTTTTTTCTTTCAACTAAAGAGCCCTCGTTTTCTTTGCCTTTTGACATTTAACGAAGTTCTATCAAAACTGAAGTCTGTGCTGTTTTTGCTCATCGAAACAAACGTTGCAGCCGTATGGTACAAGTACTGTTCAGGAGAAAATTTATTGCACAAATGAAATGTTACATTCTTTGGCCATCTCACGAATGGTTAGACAACGATTTCGCTAAATAGTATCGTCATCCGTAGTGCGATTTGTTGCTATGCAATTAAAAAATCCTAGAACTTACTGATTAGTCCCCGAATGTAAACTACGATTCCGCGAGACATACAGAAAACTATATTTTACACTGTATGGACCTAGTGAAATATTACACATTTAGTTTTTATAATACTTCAGTAGTTTTTTGTATTATCTTGATATCTTGATAGAATCGTTGGCTATGAATCTCCGAAAGAAAATGTTAAATATAAGTTTATAATCTAAAAATATTTGTTGAATACGCTGATTTTAATATGTTTAATTACTTCTGATTTTTTTCATTATCTCTTTAAAATGCAATTTTCAATTCAATTTTATTGTTTGACTTATGAGCAGTAATTCACTTAAAAGACATTTTCGAATACTTGATTTAAATAATTTAAAGCGGACATATCTTTTTTTATTATTCGCGTATTTTCTGTTCAAAAGGAATCTATTTTTAATAATGTAACTTTAGTTTTTGATATTCTGAAATATATTTATAAGTTAATTATAGAACAAAAATGACTTAATTCATTTCACCCTAATCCTTATCACCTATCCTCACTTACGGAAAGAGTCTTACGCAATAAGAAAACGATAAAAAAAATAAAAAAAAATTCTAGCTTTGGGAAAAAAAGTGGTTATAGACCAACGGTCGGCAAGAGGCGGACCGCGGTCCGAGAAAGGTTGAACTGCGGACCGAACTGCAGAATATCAATTGCTGAGTCAATCAAGTTCAAAATAAAACTGTTGTTAATTTTCAAATAGGAAGTGAAATAATTACTATTTAAATGTTTGTATTTTAAGAACGATTTCCGTAGTGGAAATTGAATCGTCAATAAACGTACTTTAACCTTTAATTGTGGCTTATTCCCATTTAAATAGTAATTACTTTAAAATGCCACAAGAAAATAGCTTCAGAATAATAGGAAGCAAAATGATAAATCAACATAATAACAATTCTGTTCAAAATCTGTCAACTTTTATGCAATAAAACTGTGGCCTTAGTTAAAAGTGGAAATTTGAAGCGACACTACAAAACAACTTATCAACAGTTCCACAAAAACTTTCTTCTTGGCAGTCAGGCGCGTAAAGAAAAACTTCGGGTATATTTTAATTCTTACGAAAAGAGCACAAAAATTCTAGTTCGCTACATGAGCGACTAAGAAAAATCCACAGAGACAGCGTTACGTGTGTGCTGGATACTTAATAAACACCAAAACTATTTTCTGATTCTGAGATAGTGAAGGAATGTATGCTGGCAGTAGCTAACTTTTTGGAGAAAAAAAAGATGAAACCAAATAAAACCAGATTCGACAATATTGGCCACATTACAAAAAGAGACTAGTGCCAGATAGAACTCAAACTAAAGAAACTCAAATCAAAAATAAACCTAAACAGAACCTGGATTATGACACTCTAAAAGACCCCGTAGTTCGTCAGAACGTGAGAGATACAATGAGACAAAAACTAGAAACGACCCAACAACAAGAACATAGTGTAGAACAAAAATGGAGTTATATCAAAGACGTCATGCTGAATGCGGGAAAAGAACATCTGGGAAAGAAAAAAAGAGTAAAAAATAAAGAATGGATGACTGATGACATTCTGCAGATGATGGAACAAAGAAGATTAATGAAAAACAGGGACGCGAAGAAATACCAAGAAACCAACCAGAATTAAAAAAGAAATACGAAGAGCCAAGGAGACATGGATGCAATAAAAATGTAAACTAATCGAGGAGCTCCAAGACAAACACGATTATATAAATATCCACCGAAAGATTCGTGAAGCTACTGGTCAATACAAGAGGAAAAACACACACCTCATAAATAAAGACGGCAATCTGGCGATGACAGTAAATGAGAAGTTGGTTACCTGGAAAATATTTATCGAAGAACTTTTCTGGGACGACCGAGGCAACCTTACGGAAATAAATTGCATGACAGGGCCGTCAATTTTAGAAAGCGAGGTAAAGGCGGCTTTAAAACAGTCTAAGAATGGTAAGGCTACAGGTCCGGACGAAATATCCGTTGAACTTATTAAGGTGATGAGTGAAGTGAGCACGAAGGAGTTAACTGGACTGTTCAACGCCATATACGATTCAGGTAATCAGAGGAATGGCTATTGTCAACATTATATCAAACGTGCGAATATTTCCGAACTTAAGAGTCATGCACCTAAAATTTTTCTTAAAATCATACATGCCAGAATTTACAAGAAATGCGAAGAAAATGTCGGTGAAATGCAATTCGGATTCCGCAATTCTATGGGTACACGTGAAGCACTTTTTACCTTACAAGTTTTACTTCAGAGATGCCGCGATGTCAGTTGTGATGTCTATATTTGTTTTATTGACTACGCCAAGGCATTTGACCGTTGTCAGCACCAGAAGATGGTCACCGCCCTACAAAGAGTAGGATTGGATGAGAAGGACATTCGGATCATCATGAATTTATACTGGAACCAGCGTGCTCAAGTCAAGGTCGAAGACCAGCTGACCGACCAAGTGAAGATCATGCGAGGAGTAAGGCAAGGATGTGTGCTATCGCCGACTCTTTTCAATATATACTCTGAGGAAATTTTTAGTGAAGTCCTCACAAACCTAGAGATGGGAATCCGAGTGAACGGTGAATACATCAATAATATCCGCTACGCCGATGACACTGTGTTACTAGCAACCAGCCTAAACGATCTGCTTCCCTTACTAGACCGATTGCGAACTGTAAGCGTAACATACGGACTGAACCTTAATATTAAGAAAACTAAATTCATGGTTATCAGCCGTACAAATTTAGATCCCGAGGCACTAATGGCAGGTAGTGAAGAGATCCAGAGAGTCGACAGATTCACTTACCTCGGAACTACCCTCAACTCACAATGGGACTACGCTCAAGAGATTAGATCCAGAATTAAAATGGCATGATCTACATTTATTAAGTTAAGATCCTTGCTGTGCTGTAGTGATCTCAGTTTGGGAACCAAGATGCGGATAGTGAGGTGCTACGTTCTTCCAGTGTTACTATATGGAGTTGAAGCCTGGACACTGACGCAAGCCACTGAAAAACGAATCGAAGCCTTCGAGATGTGGATATACAGAAGGATACTAAAAATATCTTATGTGGACCATGTCACCAACGTTGAGGTCCTACAGCGCATGACAAAAGAAAAAGAAGTTCTTAATTTAATTAAACAACGTAAGCTTGAGTACCTCGGCCACGTGATGCGGAATGAAGAAAAATATCGAATTCTTCAACTCGTTATGCAGGGTAAAGTATTTGGCAGAAGAGGACCGGGACGCCGTCGTATCTCGTGGTTGAAAAATCTCCGACAATGGTTAAGGATGACCTCAGCGGAGCTGTTTCGCAGAGCAGTCAACAAAACCATGGTAGCCTTGATGACCGCCAACATCCGGACCGGATAAGGCACTGAAGAAGAAGAAGAAGTGCAAAAATGTAGGATGTGCAAAAGTAATACTATTTATTTATGTAAAAGGTGTAGAATGCATCTGCACTCCGAATGTTTCGAAAATTTTAACCTTAAAATTTAATTTACATTTAAGATACAATATGTTCCTCTATTAAAAATTTTACTGTTTTCCTTAAAAATGAGAAAAAATCTTTTTGGTTGTAAATTAGTCTTAATTTATATGTTTTTAATCCAATCTAATAAAGTAATTGTCAAATTTCTCTTTGTATATTGAGCGGCCGTTAATGGGTTAATACTATATAAAGAATAAACTTGCCTCAAATTTACTTTACTTACCTTAAAACTATATTAAAGTTAATAATAAAGTATATTTAATAAATATATTCCCAAGAAATATACCACACTACGCCTATGCACATATATAATTTGAAAGGAATAAACTAAAATATATTTCCCTCATTATCATTCTTTCTAAATACCTAAATATATATAGACCAGCAAAATATTGATAAGTTTGCCAATGTTTCAAACCATTCATTGAGCTTGTCTCACTATACACTCGTGAATCGCAATAATTTATATTGTTACGGGGGCAAATTTATCTTACTTTTTCACTTATTTACATGGGCGAAGCATACATAATAAAAATGACCCCGGTAGGAATTTACCGCTGAAATTTTACTTGGTTGTCGCTACTGTTTAGTTCAGTTTGTAGATTAGTCACCTTTAATTGAAAATTGTCCGACTATAATAAAAAATAAGCGGATTTAAATTAATTTATTGTTAAGAGAAAATAAAATAAATGCAGTATTAAGAACATAACAAAATAGAAACATGTATTAACTATTATTATTGTTACTAATGTAAGGCAAAAATAACCCAAACACATAAATAGATTTAGCTAAACTTAATCAGATTCATCAGGGTTACACGGTTATAACAACTGTTGTATTGCTATGCTCAAGTCATAAAAATATGGTACAACATTACAATAGTATTTGGACAAACGCGTCGTCTTTGTCGCATATCAAGAAGAACACCTTTTTCTTTTATTGTCCGTTTTAGCAACATCTGTATCTGTCCCACTGGTTGAACTTTCCTCTTTATGTTACTGAAGCTGAAGCTACAATGGTCTGTAAATACCTGTAGTAATATCCGACCGCTGTTTTATTTGCTCTGATAATAACTTACTTGAAAGGTTTCGAATGAAGAGTCTACGTCGTATTTTTAAGATTGATTTAGAATGGGAATGGACTGTGCGTTAATCCCAGTAACGTTCAAGACGACGTCAAATATCACCATAGGCCACCTTCTGCTGTTTCTGTCTACATTATACGAACCACCCATTTGGTCTATAGCAGGGGTGGCCAACTTAATCGGACTCGAGATCTACTTGTCTGTCTTTTTAATTCTTTCCGATCTACCGAATAGGAATTTTTTAACTATACTGACGAGCAAGAACACTTTTAATCCAGAATTTTAACGTGGAAAGTGAACTGAATATCTCAGAGTCGCTCACTATATCTCAGAAAATCAATCACTGATTTTGAAAGACTATTTTATTATCTTTCGAGATCTAAAAGAATTTTGAATATGAGTAAAACCGATTCGGCTTTGAACGCTAAAATTCTGGATGGATTAGTTTTATTGCTCGCCAGTGTGTAATTGTAATACGCAAATTAAACAAAAGTAGTAATTCTTATTTATTTATTTTTATCAACTATATTAAATAAAAAAAATTAATGTAAGATTTTCGTTTAAACAGTTTTTGCTGGGTTCTTAAGGTCTGGCCTGAAGTTGGAAATCCTTAAAGAATCCAAAGTAGTAGGATTAGTCAACAACTGTTTAATCTTCGTTTGTTTTTAATATGAAAACGCTGATGCACATAAATAGGTTGAAACAAACATTAATGCAGTTGTTTAGCACATTTTTGTTAAATTTAGATATTTTTCAATGGACACCAATGGCCAGAAATCTAGAAGTGAACCTGACCTATTTCAAAAATACATCGCAGCGCATAGCAATTATTTCATTAAAAAAAAAGTTGGTCCATTTGGAATATCTCTGCAAATTGTTTGGATAT